GTATGGATATCTAATGTATGGGTTTTTAGTTCTGATTCAACTGTTTTTGGATCACCACCTGCTACAAAAAAACATTGCAGTAAGTAATAACACTAATAACTAAGCATAAAAAATTTAATGAAATTTTAGTTAATAAAATTAAGGCATTTAATATATTTAAAACGTTATTTTAAAATTTTTTACATTTTTTTTACGATATTTTTTGCCATACCATGTTTTTTTGTAATTATTAATTAAAAAATTATATATTTTTAGGACAGTGTTTTATTTAGATACCCCTACCTACTTAATGTTAATTTAAAATTTTAAATAATTTTGGTTAACATCATACCAGGCAAATATATAGTAAATGCCAATAAACTATAAACCAATAAATATTAAAAATCGGAAGGTAACTTGAATTCTCTTGTATTTGAATTTGCTTGTACTTGAATTTACCTACATGAAGAAATCATAATTATATTACTAAAAAAATATACTTACTTATTTACGTATTTTTTAATATACTACTCTGACAATACTGGTAAGTTTAAAACTGTACGCCACTGGCGAGCATAAAATGGACACTGTTTACAATGTTGCCAGCCGGTCCTAAGAGATCTGTCTTTCTCTCTTCCACTCACTAACAATTTTAAAACAATAACAGTCCGCAATTGTATGGGATTTATGAATGAAACATTTTGTCTCTATGTTGTAATATCTTTGGATAGAATGAACCTATTCAAATACGAAAATGAGAAAAAAAGTCGTAACACGTAAGGTTTTCTTGTTACATTTATAGAACCACATTTAATGTTACAATACTTAATATCTATTGAAAAACTAGTTTGAGAATTTTTTAACCGTGTATATGGACTATCTTTACATCTAAGAAAAATACAAACATCGAAAACATTAATTTAAAACACTAATTAAATTCTATTTTTTCCTTTTGAGAGGTCATGTTTTCTCTCTTCAAAAACCAACAGTAATCACCCATCATGGTTGGATCCCATCGTCCTTGATAGCGAATTTCCATTGGGTAGCTATTCTTGAATTGGAGAGAATAGAAAACTGGTTTTTTCTCTTTACCTGCAACGTAAAAAAATTGTATTGTTGTCTCATTCTTCCCTCCAAATTTCTTCTCCCTGAGATTCAAGAATAGATGCCCTTATATCTTGGTGGAACCTTTCACCCTGCTCGTCACTGACAGTTCCCAAATTTTCAGGGAAAAAATGACATGGGAATGGAGGAAGTGAATTTTTAATGACAATCGGGCATTAAGCGATTTGTATGAATCTAAAAGTTCATTAACTAACTGTTGGTAGTTTGCATCCATATTGTTGCCCAAAAATCCTCTTACTTCACTAATAAATGAGTTCATGTCTGGTTTCTCTGTAAAATTAACAACGTCCAGCAATTTTCTGATTTGTGGCCTAATAAAAATGTCTTCCTTTAATTTTGCATAACTTAACATGGGAAAGAATTGTCTAAGATATTTGAATCCATCACCGTCTATATTCATAGCCTTCACAAAGTTTTTCATTAGCCCTAGTTTAATATGAAGAGGAGGCAGAAGGACATTTTTGGGGTCTACAAGAGGTCTAAACTTAACATTTTAAGATCCCGATTGAAACTCACTTCTTTCTGTCCAAATTTTTGTTCCATAATGCTGATTTACTTAAACAAAGGAAACAGCAATATTTTGTAAATCCTCCCTGAAGTACTACTAAAATTTCTATAACTTTTACGTCTCCACATATCTGCCATTTATAACTGTTGTAGTTTATTTTATCTAAACGCGTGCGCATATTTTCATAGGTTTCTTTCATCGTCATTAAATGAGCAACCGGTATTATAGAGGGTTTTAAATATCCATTATGCAATAACACAGCTTTTAAAATGTATTTAGACGAGTCTATAAATAAGCGCCACTCACTGGGAGAATGCTTAATATCAAGCTTCTGCATTAAACCATCGATATCAGTACACGCACACAACGAATTTTCCATACTGTAAAATGCAGAAAACATAGCATTTATTTTCCTGAAAGTAGTAATTTTTGTTTCTTTACCTAACAAGTTCCATTTCTTAAGACGGGAACCAAGAAGTTCTGACTGTTGCTTTGATAGCCCCAAATCGCGTACTAGATCATTTAACTCATTTTGAACAATCAAATGAGGCTCGCCGGAACTGGGACCTGGAGTAAAAATAGGGTCGGTACATTGTACCCCGGAGCTGCCTGATGATGCGGTGTCTCCAGTATCTTCCAAAACAAAACCTTGCGGATCTAAAGGCGCAATCGGCACTGGTAAATCTACATTATGAGGAACAGGTCGTATGGCAGAGGTAAAAATAGCAATCGTCAAAATGATTAGTGGGTTCTCGCCATACCATTGGCACTGCAAAAGACATGCTTGTTCTCTTCCCCTTCATTCACTGCACCAATGACAAGCTACAACACAGCACATATGGGGAGCCCACTGCTTGTCTTGATCTCCAATTAAAACACCAAAATATTTGAAGTAGGCTTTTTTACATTTTCAGAAAATGGCCTGGCTTGTGATTTCACCATAAATTCTCCACAAATATAACGAAATTTGTCAGGAGAAATTTTGCAACTGCGGCGAGTTTGACTCGACATTTTCGTCCATAAAACCACTTTATCTATACACAGAGAACCACTCGCTTCGAAACTCAACAGAAGACTGATGTTTAATGTTGCTTTATATCTAATATAGTAACAATACAGTTTCTTTTATTAGGCTATTGAAAAGTGGTACGTGTTAGGGTTTAAGGAATATTTTTTCTGTTATTAGAAGGGTATTTTCATTTTAAAAATAAAAGTCTGACCTGTGTTACAAAATCTTGTCGGTTAGTGTAATAAAATAAGTCGAATATATAAGTTTTTCTTTTTTAAATAATATATAAACAATATATAACAGTTTTAAAAGTTTTTAGTATTGACAAGGGCAAACCGCTAAGAAGTAAATAATAAAATTGTTATAAAGAAAATATTATGTAAAGGGTTTGCCATTTGTTTAACTTAAGCTAAGTTAGAAATAGGATCAATTAGATTATTTTTTCTCCTCTTTATGAATTTACATAAATCTTAGCTGTAGCTTTTTCTTCTTTGCATATGAGCCCACACCAACAGTCAAAGTCTGCCAGTCAAACAGGCACAATTTAGCCACACGGACACGGACACCCCAGGAGCTAGCCCTAAGAGACAGATACCGAATGGATCGCAGTTGTGAGACAATACCTGGGGTTATCCCAATAGTTTCGGATACACAACTCTAGAGGCTAGTTGAATTAACCACTATAGTAAAGTGGTTTCTACTCCAATAGTCCTGGTCAAACAACCCTAGAGACCAACTGAATCAACCACTATAGCGAAGTAGAGCAAGAAGTTATGGGGACCAACCAAAACTACCCAAACGACATTCGATTGAGCAAGATATGGATTGGTCGCCACCGAACCTAGCAGATACCGAGTAAACTGTCTGCAACCAGAACATCCGTGCTACCAACCAATAGTGTTCTTCATTGTTCAGCGAGGCTGAAAACACATACGAGGAAATGTCCCAATGAAACCACGACCACGTCCTATTCAACCACTGGAACCACGGCTTCTAGGTAGCGATTTTACTAAATTACAGCACAAAATCGTTCCCAGGTACAGGTGAACCACACGTCGCAGCTCTCAACCGAGGAACCGAGTAGCTGTCAAGACCACATTCGAGTCTTTAAGGGCTAAAACAAGCCACGCAGCAGAAGAAGAGGGTGTCCCACAGGGTTAGATGTGCAGAAGACTAGTTTCATGTGGAGCGTTCGACTATCGGTGGTTTGGTGAAACGGAACTAGTTGAGGTGTATGTTCGTTGCAATGAGAATTTAGGGAACTTTTCTTGTTTTGTGATTATTGTAATTAATTCTAAAAAAAAAGATATTGTTTTCAAATAAATTTTGTTTAGCTGTTTTTTTTTAGGGTAGATTTAAGGATAAAGCACGGGTCGAGGCTTTGGCCATAAGTGGCATGATACGCTAAACAAATAACACCCTATATATAAAATTTACAATTTCTATTTTAATATACATTCTTTAAATTAAATAATTTAGGATAGTATTTGATATAATATTTTGATAAATATTAGATTCAATTCATAAGTACGTCCTCGATAAAAAAAAATAGTTAGGCACTTGTTGATCTTAATCAATACACATAAAATCGGTTGGGTCTTCAATAAAGACACTCTTTGTCGGGGTCTCATCCTAGACTCTTTGTTGAAATCTCATCCTGGAGTCTTTGTCGGAGTCTCATCCCGCACTCTCTGCCAGAGTTCATCCTGGACTATCTGCCAAAGTCTCATCCGAGACTATTAGTTTGAGTCTCATCATTGCGTCGCATCCCAGTAGAAGTAGTGAAGTGACGTGACCTCGTCGCCTGTAGATGTTTAGCCCTTGGTAAGGCCCTTTTTATATTATTACATTTTGGGTATTTTATTGATCGTTAATAAATTGTTAATTGTTGTTGCTTTTTTATTTTCCCAAGACAGGTATATAGCACATAGGGTCACTATCTATTACGACCGAAAGGCCCGTGACAATATACAGGGTGACAAAGTTAATTTTAAAACATTCGTTTTTCATTATATTTTCGTCGTTTTATTGAGTAGATGTCTTAAAATTGGTAAACCGAGGTTTTCTGAGATAACAAATAATAATTTGAGCAAAAATATCACCCTGTATATTGAACATAATCGAGAAAAACTAATATACTGACCTAAGGAATCTATGGTTAATGGATTGGATTACTTTTTTGGTACATCATGTATACATAGTTTATATTTTTCTTATATTGGCAAGATTAGCGACTTCTTCGGATAAAAATGGTTTCTAAGATGGAAGGCCATATAGTAATCCCCAGTGATCGTACCCAATTAAGCTTAGGTTTACAAATGTGTTCCTTTTTTTCAGTCATCTTGTCACAATTGGTTGCCAAGGAAATTAAAAATTTCCCCGTTCTGTATATTAAGAATAAACCTCTAAAAATGTTAATGTTATTGTTTCTTTTCTTTGGATGGCAACAAATTAATTAAATATGATTATTCCTTAAAAATTCGCTAATGTTATTGAAATTTAAGAAGCGTTATTAAAAATATTGATAACAGAAAAGTCAAATAGCTGTTTACATGATTGAATCCAATCCATCTCTGTCATGGGCAACATAAACACGGACTAAAATATTAAAATCACGCCCCAATATTGGTTTACGTTACGATCTTCCACTTAGCCAAGAAATTGGATTAGAACAGTTTGTCAGTTAAGGTACCAGCGACAAAATTCATCAACGGTTATGTTCAAAAATGAGAATGATGTTATCACATATTTGCGAAAAAAATGTTATAATCGGTGTAAGGAACAAGAAATACTACAATATGACACGTGCGACACCATCTTCGAAGAATTACTGTGCTGGCCAACCACAAAAGCTGGCAGCTTTGCCACACAAAACTGTTCGGGAGATTTTTTAAAATCCACGCTTAAGGTAAGTTTGTATGAACTTGACCGTATCTAATACATTTCACAAAATTATCAACACTGTTATGTCATTTATATAAAAATATTAATTTATTACGTTAATAAAAGTTTATTCTTAGAAATATAATCTATTTATAGAAAATTAATTATTATAATACAATGAAAAAAATCGTGAGTGGGAAGTAATATGTGTTTACAATTTAGTTGTAAATATATACAGAGTGAGGCACCGAAAACGAAACAGATCGCATATCGACACATTTTTTTTTAAGAAAATGCAAAAAGAGGTCGATTTTTATTTCAAAGGGGACATCTTTCGATCATATCCTCAACTATCCTACATCCCTCCCCACCCCTATGTCACTATTACCAATGAAATTAAAATAGGGAAAGTACCTAGTAAGTGTGACACATCATTGAAAAGTTAATTTTATAAGTAATTTGACTGTGTGACATGTGACATGTGACAGTTCAAATAAGCGTATTGTCATGTGAAAGCCAAATTTAATGCTTAATTACCTTTGGAATAAAATTGAACTTACTACGTCTATGTTTTCGTAAAATAAATAAAGGTTTTTATTTCCATAACTACCAGATCTGTTTTTTAGTTTAGCGTCATTGATACTTCAAGTCTATTAGCGAGTAAAACATAAAAATGGTTTATTCTATTCAGGAGAGAGTAGAAATTGTTGAATGTTATTTAAAAAATAACGAATGTGCTAACACTGCCTGTACAATTTTCAATGAGCGACACCCAAACAAACAGGTTATACGTAAGTACGTTTTGGAACTTATTTCAAAATTTCGAAAACAGGATCTGTTCAAAATAAAAAACCAAAATTCAAAATCCAGTAAGAAACGAAGCCGTAGAGGTAGCCGTTTTAGGACAAGTTGTTGCAGATCCAACTCTAAAGCAGGGTTTTCCTAACAACGCACATTTTACGCGGCGTAGAACGTAATTCGGTCGGCGTAAAACGCTGAGAACATGTCTAATGAAAATTAAATGGAGTCGTTTTCCTACAGGGCGCAAAAACGACTTGCGTCGAGTAATCGGTCGACGCAACGGGACGACTGCTCGGAGAGCAGTCTATTCAGTCGTACGCTGCGTTTTAAAAGGAATGTGCTCCTAATTTGCAACAAAATGACTTCACAAAAACAGCAAATTCGTTTTAGTGCTACTGACGACGAACAATTAATTGAAGTCGTTAGTGGTTATCCTATTCTTTGGGATATGAAACTGAAAGAATTAAAAATGTAGTGAAAAAGGACACAATCTGGAATGAAATGGACAAAATGTTAAACAAATCAGGTAATTTTTTCTTGCAAAATTTCATCTTGCAGTATTAAAAATGCCAAAGCTAATTCCTTTTACAATTATTTGACCCACTCATCGCGATGATCAGGACGCAACTGACAATCCTAGGAAAACACTTTTACGCAACGCTTTGGATGTTGCGTTGCGTCGGCCGTATTACGTTCTACGCTGCGTAAAATGTGCATTGCTAGGAAAACGCCGCTTTAGTACAAGAAAACTTGCAGAATTATCTGTAGTAAGTGACCGTACCGTCAGGAGAATTTTAAAAGCCAACAAATTCCATCCCTATAAAATTCATTTAGTTCAGGAACTTAACGAAGACGATTTTGATCGCCGCTTGCAATTTTGTGAAATCATGAGCGAGCATGCTATACAAGATCCACATTTTCTTATAACATTTGCTTTTTAGATGAATGCAGTTTTTATGTTAACGGGACTGTCAATCGACATAATTGTCGATACTGGTCAGATTCCAATCCAAGAGTATTTCATGAAACGCATACTCAACACCCAGAAAAGTTAAACGTTTGGACTGGACTATTTGGCGATCGTATTGTTGGTCCATTATTTTTACCAGGTACTTTAACTGGGGATATGTATTTGGAATTACTTGAAAACACCGTTGATCCACTGTTAACAGACATAATAGAAAACGATAAGCGATACCTTGAAGATCACCTAATATTTCAACAGGACGGGGCTCTTCCACATTTTGCTGCAGCGGTTCGTCAGTACTTAAATGAAAACATTCCTAGACATTGGATTGGACGAAGAGGATTTATTGAATGGCCCCCACGATCTTCTGATCTGTCCCCCTTAGATTACTTTTTATGGGGATATCTGAAAACTAAAATATACGCCACTCAGCCAGGTTCCTTAGAAGAGTTACATGAACGTATTATTAACGAATATCGTCAAATAACTCCAGAAATGCTCCAAAACGTCAGACAAAGATTTGAGAATAATTTATATTTTACTTTGAAGTAATTTAGTTTTTAATTATGGGAGTTGTCCTAAATTTTTCAATTTAATTTTTATGTTCACTTTTCTATTATTTTTTTTTATTTTTATTATGAATTGTCTATTAAATGAGTTTTATTTTCAAATGAAGTATCATTATTTATAATACGGAAACTTTTCCCGCAAGATGGCGCCAAAATCAAAAGTTACGTAATACACAGTCAAATTCCTTATAAAATTACCTTTTCAATGATGTGTCACACTTTAGTACTTTCCCTATTTTAATTTCATTGGTAATAGTGACAGAGGGGTGGGAAGGGATGTATGATAGTTGAGGATATGATCGAAAAATGTCCCCTTTGAAATAAAAATCGACCTCTTTTTGCATTTTCTCCAAAAAAAATGTGTCAAGATATGCGATCTGTTTCGTTTTCGGTGCCTCACCCTGTATAGCCGTAAACATACCTATATGATCCTGGGGGAGGGGTTGAAATAGAAATGGACGCTCAAAAAAAATTTATAAATTGTTAAAAACTTGGGGAAATACAAAATATTTTCTACAATTAGTATCAAAATTTTATTTAATTTAATTTTTTTATTATTTAAAACTTCGAGATAAAACAAATCATTGAATTCAACACAACAATAATAACATAAACTTTATTTGATCATTGTAAAGAGTATATGTAGGTGACCTTTTCGATTTAGATAAATCAATTTCTGGAAATTCAAAAATAAATTCCCAAATTTCACCTTCGAAATTATGAAATTTATCTCCAATATCTTAAGGTAAAAACAAACTAATGAAAATCTAAAAATAGTTCACGAAAATGCAGAAGCTCCTCTGTTGGACACATAGGCGCCGAATCCCCAGGGCTATGGGGGCGGAGCACCCATAGCACAACGTGAACAAAAAATGCCAATAAATGAAATGAAGAATTTGTCGTGACCCAAGTTGGTATAGCGACAAGATGCCTCGATAAAATATCGTTCTGAGTTGTATTTTTTCGTGATAAAAAAGTCGCCGTCACTTGTCATAGACGCTATGAACCTGAACTTAAGAGTTTATTATTCTTGGTGTATAAAACCCTATGACGTCAAAAAAACCAACTAATAACTTTCTACAAATATCAAGACAAGAGCTCTTGTATATAATATTGAGCAAATGCTTGAGGGGAGAAGGGAGAACATTTGGAAGTTGCTCTCAATCAAGCACTATTAGAAAAGAAAAGAAAAGAACATTAATTTAGAGTCAGAAACAGTTTTCTAGTAGTACTGGCGAGAAACCAGGTCGTTTACTAAAAACGCTCGGACCTGTCAATTTTTGATTTTAGGGGGAAACAGTTTTTGCCAGTTTCGCCCCCTGAGCAAAAATCCTCTATCAGGGGTGAGACTCATCCCTAAAATCTGAACTGAAAATAGGGGTCGAATGATAGCTTATTTTAAAGGTATTTTTACATAGAATATAACCCCCAAGTTTTACATCGCTACTATCTATGTAGCCCATACAGTAAGTCACCAAAGGTACCAAACCGATTTAACATTATTTTTACATTATTAAAAAAAAGGAATTCTTTGTAATAATTTTAGTTTTATTCCTTTTAGTTTTATTCCTGTGGCTTTCAATTATTGTTTTCAGATGACATTCTTTGGTCGATGTAAAGTAGTAAAATTTAGTTTATTTCATTGTAGAGTCGGCATAAAAGTGGCATATCAGTGATAATGGTTTACTCATTTGCTGAGAGGATGCACATAATTTCACTTTTTTTGCGAGCAATGAATGTGCTAATAGAACTGCCCAACTGTTTAACAATCAACATTAAAATCGACAAGTCCATCGAAAATATATTTTGGAGTTAGTCCAAAAATTTTGGGAAACGGGGTCAGTAGCTACCAAATGACGTAAAATGGAAAATGCTATAGTAAATGGAGCTACAGAGGTAGCGATTTTAGGGCATGTTGTTCAAGAACCCACAATGAGTACAAGGCAGTTGGCAATAACATCTGGTATAAGAACTTAAAGAAGACGATTTTGATAGCTGATTACCATTTTGTGAAATTATGACTGAACGGGCAATAAATGATCGGCAATTTCTTTTCAATGTGTATTTTCCAGGCGAATGCACTTTTTTTCTAAATGGTACGGTAAATTATCACAACTGTCGTTATTGGTCCGATTCAAATCCCAGAATATTTAATGAAATGCATACGCAACATCCGGGAAAACTGAATATTTGGGCTGGTATTTTTGACAAACGTATAATTGCCTCCTTTTTTACCTGGAACTTTAACCGCAGATATATATCTGGAATTATTAGAAAACGCCATTTATCCAGCATTACTAGAGTTGATTGGGAATGACGATCAGTACATAGCAAACAACTTAATATTCCAGCAAGACAGTGCGCCACCCCATTTTGCACTGACTGTTCGTCAGTATTTGGATCAAACGTTTTCAGGTCAATCGATCGGTAGAAGAGGAAGTATTGAGTGGCCCCCACGGTCTTCGGATCTAACTTTGTTGGATTTCTGATGACGCCACTTAAAAACTAAAATGTATGCCACCCAGCCAACAAGGATGAATGTTATCAAATCACCCCACAGATGCTTTATATGTCCGAGAGCGTTTTGAACAAAACCTCCATTCTTGCATGGAGGCCCAGGGTCAGCATTACCAGAATTTACTCGAATAACAGAAAATTAAAATCGTTATAAGATCATGGCTAGGAAGA